ATATATATTTTTTCACTTTTTATTTTTTTCCACTTTTCAAATGAGGGTGCATAACAACTCAACTGAGGGTGCAATGCACCCTTATGCACCCCCGTAGAACCGGGCCTGCACACTGTACCACTTACTGCTCCTTGAGAGTAGACCAGACTCCGCCTCTGCATACGTCCTCCCTTGCCTGCTGAACTCTCTATTTGTTCACCAACAGTTCAATGTGATCGGTACACGTGTCTGATGTTCCCTGTGTGACTGAGCTGAACTTGCAATGGTTAGCCTTCACCCCAAGCCCTGACCTTTCGTTTCCAAAGAGGTGCTAACATGTCTTAGTGACGTGACTTTAGAGACGTCTTCCTTCTTCGTGATGTGACCTTCGTGATGTGTGAAATGGAATCAAACCTGGCAGTTGTCTTTCCTGTGTGGTTGTATGGCTCAATAAACGTTCTGCTCTATGAATTTATTTAATAACTTCTACAGATCTGCTGTAACTTACTTCCAAACACACAGAAGAATACTTGCTTTCCTTTATCTTTTCTCCAGAAAATTGGTAATATTGACTTAGAGCTATGTGGCAAAACTTTAAGTGGCAAACTGAGTGAAAAACCGAAGTTTGATTTCAAGCAATCACTTCTAATCCAGTCTGTGCAGCTCTCTGATGGAGTTAGATTGCTCCCTGAGTTCCTTGTGCAGAATTCAAAGGAACAGGGGGTGAAAAATGAGTGTGAGAGACAAAGCGTGGTCTCGGTGGCAAAGCCAGCTAGATTGAGTGTATAACTTCTTCTTTTTGCCCCATCATTCATCCGTTCTGAGTCAATGGTAACCTTGTTACACCCCTGTTACTCTCTACTTATTGCTTTTATTACCTTCCTGCTGAATTGAATCATTGCCGCAGAGCATATGCAAATGAAATGTGTTCCTTCTAAAGTTGTTTCCTAAAGGATGTATTGCCACCATGATTAACTTCCTGTAGTTTTAATCCTCTATAAGATGTACTTAGGAACAAAAGCATTTAATTTATTGTAAACTGATATAGGATTATAGAAATCACTTACCGATACACTAACCTAAATTAAATCCAATATGTTTCCCCTGGGATGCAACCAGGAAAGGTAAAGCTTGTCCAACAAACTTGGAAATATCGGGGTCCAGCGTTTCCGCCAGGGGGGCGTCTTGCCGTCATTTAACGGCCTTATTCAGCTCGGGACGCCCTGAACGCGAGCCGAGTGCATCCAAAAATATTAATAATTCGAGAGAAGATCGAGAGGTTTTATCACTTGAAATGACGAAAAGGAAAAAGGACCAGGACATCCCTCTGTTGGAGGGGCAAAGGAGTCTTGTGGGATTCTTTTCGGAGTATTGAAGATCGTTTCCCCGACATCGAAGGTGCCTGCTACAGGACAAAACGGAACGTGCGCGATTTGGACGCGATGAGTGGAGGGGTTTTAGTGGAGCACGCACGTGAACTTTAAGAGAGCCGAGCCAAATGATCCGGTTCACTAACGTAAAAAGACAGTATCTATAAGGGACGCTCTCGGGGTGGACGCCCTCTCAGCCCTGGTCTGGCGGAAACACTGTCGGGGTCCAGTAGCCAGTTTAGTTTTAAGCGTACCTAAATACTCATCATCAGACCTTAGCCGATGAGTTCCCAGATTGCATTTCAGCCCCTCTTTCACCCTCTATTTATTATTCAACCAAAGCCTGCTTATAGGGGATTGGTCAATGCTTCGCCAACATCAAATGGAAACCACAATGCTTCTGTCAGCAAAATCTTATCCAGTTGCCTACTGATTCTTCATACTGTAAGACTGCAGAATCTGTTTATAAAGATGAAATGTCTGATAACTGTTTATTTTCTATCAACTCTAAACAGGGAAGTATATGCAGATGATGAGCATTCTGAAGCCGATCGCCTTCGATGTCATCCACTGTGTGTCGCAGCTCTTTGACTACTACCTGTATGCTGTTTACACCTTCTTCGGACGGAATGACATGGTACAGTATTTCTAAAGCATATGGTACTTTTCATGACATAAATATAGAACGTCTTATGTTGAAGAGCAATGTCATGGTTTGCACTGTAACCATACTATAGAATAGACAGAAGTTATAACCTTGAGTTCAACACACACCAACTAGAGTATGTTATGTACTCTCGGGTCCTTTATCCTTGCATGCTAGGAACATACTTCACCTGAAGAACCTACTTTGCCATCATCCGTTGTATATAATACTAATTTTTTCATTTTTCGTGATTTCTTGTTGCACGTTGACTCTGAGAACGAGGCTGTAGTGTATACTGTTGAATCTAAATGTGAAATAGGCTGTTGTTGTGTGGGCTATACAGAGGAAACGATTCATAATAATAATTCATTACATTTTTATTTAGAGCGCTTTTCAAGGCACTCTAAGCGCTTTACAATTACATATTAGACATGTAACAGTTATTACTGCGAAATACTCACAGGAGCAAATTAGGGTATAGATTATTAATATTATGATAGGGATTAGAGTGCTGTATTGGGCTTGAGGTTTAGGATTTCCATCAGTGTTTAGCAGCCTTCACAATTTAAGTTCGGCATTTCGTTCCCATCTATCTCTCCCCTCATTTCCTGTCATTTCTCTTCACTCAAATTCTTCGAAAAAAAAAGCGCACAAAAACAGCAAGCAAGGTTGTGCATCAGGGCTACTAAAAATAAAATAATGTGAGCATGTGAGCTATCACAAGTAATCAGGAGTTTTTTGTCTTGCAATGCCTGCAGGTACATAATATTACTTCTGCTGCACGATGCTTGAAGATAATTGCTTGCATTTATTTCAAAAGATGGATTTTTGCATTTGTATGTTTATTAGATGATATACAGTGAGACAATAACCCCTGTTTCCATCTGTTCTCATCGCCCTTTGCAATATCAGTACACATTTAAGTTGAACGATAGCTTACAGTGTGCGAGACCAGTTCCCCCCGCTCCATCTAAAGACTATCATGTCATTTATAATGTGCCTCACAAAGAAAGAAAACATCATTTGTGTCAGTATCCCCCTCGGGGAAAGTGGTAATGATGGCAACAAAATGACTTCTGTCCTAGCGAGGTGGAAGAGATAAAGAGGATGAACGCTCTGCAGCGGCGGCTTTACTACACATTATGGCTGTTAGTGTGTGTGCCACTGGGAGATGAGCAATGGTGAAACACTTGTTATGTATTGACAACTTGTCAAAAGGTTACTTTTCTCATATGTCTTCCGCTGACCAATTGTTAAGTGTACAGTATGTGAGTTCTCTTTGTCTTCATGCTTGTATTCTCATCACTCTAATGCCCTTTTGTGCCTTTCCACACTTCCTGATTTCATCTTTTGTCCCACAGCATCCTAAATCTGACATGTTCTGCTCCTTTCACACAGCATTGCTCACCTTTCATCCCTTCTGCTTTTATTCTCATACACATGTATCTCTCTGTCTCCATCTTTCTGAAACTCTAACTTGCTCTTTCTCCAGCATACCTCTAGTCCTCATTAAATGTGATATCATGTGCCGACCCATTTCATTAATATGCCTACTCAAAGAGGCACCTACAGTAAAATGCTAATGCCCCTATAAATCTTTAAAACGCTTAAGGAATTGCTATGCACATATGCTGTTATCCTGACCTAGGCTTTGCTCTCTTTACACCGCTGGAATCAAGATGGAGCTGCTTGACTCCTCCACTTGAAGAGTAATAGGTCACATTAATATTCAAGAGGGTAAATACCCCATTATCTGTGTATATTAACCCTGTCAAGCGGCACCATTTACTCTGTCACACATATGATAAAGATGCATTATGTGCACAGATCCTCCATCTGCAGAAATAAGCAGACGTTGTGATGTGGGGACTGAGATAAGCAGGGTGAAAAAAACTGTTTTTTTTCCCCCATTGGGAAATGTTGATATTTAATTTGTCTTTTCTAACAAAAAATCGAGGAAATACACGTTAAACAAAATGTAGGACGAAGATGTAAAGGAGGGAACATTAAGATGGAAGAAAATGTACTTTGCTGCTTTGCTTTATGATGGCTAAGAAAGATAAGAGAAGAGAGAGAAGTTGGGTACCGTAACGATGCAGTAGGAAGGATGTTTTGAGAGAAAGAGAGCAGATCGAAAAAGTATCTGATGCTTTTCTGAAAAATGAGCAGTAATGCAAGAAATAGTTCTTTTTTTATTCTCGACTCCTGAATACCGCAGACAGTTCTTCACAATGGGTGATGCTCATCTCACATGCACATCAGCAACTCAAAGTGTTTACACCTTCACAATCTCCTGTGACGCAGATTTGAATGAATACTAAACAAAGGTGTTTTGTTTCTTTCTTCTTCAGATTGTAAAACAGTCTGAAGTAAGACTAACTAAAAGACAACTATCTTCTGGTCCTCAGGTTAGTTTAAAGTTGAATTTACAACTGAAACCTCTAATGCAGGGTTTTTTAACTCCTTAGATTAAGGACCAAGTAATTAAAGGGGCTTCGGTACGGGTCCAAAAGCCCAAAAAAACTTTGATTATTCATTTCCCATAACGCAACACTCCAGTTTCTCTCCCGGCTGCTTCCAAAGTACCCACATCTTTTAAACTCCACAAACCTTCCGTTAAAAAAGTTTTCACTACAAGCCCAGATAACCCCGAGGACATCACCGGGCTTATCTCTGAGGAAATCTAAAGGTTATTGTTTCCAACCTAGGAAAAACACAGAAGAAATGATACAACCGATTTCACAGGCTGTGAAAAACTTAAGGTGATGTGTAAACTGAACTTCTCAAGGACGGTCTCAAACATCCCCACGCTTTGTATCTCATCTGAGAAATGTGCAAGGAACATTGTGGAACAGGGAGTACGGTATGTCTCCCTCTCAGAACGAGTCAGAAGGTAATGTGTGGACTCAAAGAAGGATGCTTCGTATTCCGGTAACAAAGTCTATTAGCAAGCGGATGTTGCCTTACCAGGCTGATAGGTAGTTTATGCTAGAACAGAGATGTGTGTGTGTAATAACATCCATTAGTTCTATTATTGTGTGTGACCGGTGAAGCCGCACTTATGTTATTATTGTAACTATTGTTTCTTTGTTTGCTTCCTTCTTTGTGCCTCCTTTCCCCATTTTTGTATTACTTCCTCCACAATGTTCTTTTTATAATTTGAGATTTTGCTTCTTGTTTTCCCTTCCTGCTGCCCATTCGCCATCCATAGCCTGTCCCAAGCCCGTCTTTGCCGACTCATTTAGGCAGAGACGTGGGCCCCGCCCGGGTGGTGGGCCCTGCCTGCTTGGTAAGAGTAGATCTTTGGAGTGATTTTAGACTTTTCCAAATTATATATATAAAAACGTACAGTGTGGTTGAGTTAAAGCCCTTAAAGTGTGCGTGAGCTGCTTTCTCAAGTGACATCAAACACTTCTGAAAGTGATTTCAGAAGCATTTAGATGTCGAGTTTGCCGTGCTATCTCCCTCTTTACGCCCCCCTTTTACCTCTCGCCTGTCATCTCTTGTAGCAGGTGTGATAGTGTCATTTCGATGTCTGTTTCTCCCAGTAAGTCGTCCCTTTTTTGCAAAACACCGAAGTAGAAGCAGAAAGTAAAGATTATTTTGCATTCTTCTACGTGGGATGAAAGCAGATGTTGTCGTCGTGCTTTCACACTCTGCTGAAGTGAATCTTCTTGTGAAGGGAGGTGTTTCTGCACAGTGAAGAAACTAACTGTGTGTGTGTGTGTGTGTGTGTGTGTGTGTGTGTGTGTGTGTGTGTGTGTGTGTGTGTGTGTGTGTGTGTGTGTGTGTATTCTTACAGTATGAGTCATCGGGTCTGGGCCTTATCAGCAGCAGACTGAGAACCACACTGAACCGGATCCAGGAGAACCTCATTGACATGGTAAAACTTTCCCTTCTATTCCCTCTCTTCTTTTCTCTTCTACCATCGCCCGTTACCTCATCGTCATTTTCTGACACAAACATGCTCTCTCAACTCAAATCCCCTCTGTGCCTCTCTCCTCTTTATGCCTCTGCCCGTGTTTTCTCACCATCCCACTCTATCCAACACGACCATATGTCTGATTTCCCAACTCCCATCGCCACATAATGCATTATGGGTCATCATTATCTGGCCGGTGGTCACTCGCGCATACACAAACCTCCCTCCTTTTAAGTGGAGAGGCCAGGATGGCTATGTGTGTTTTTCCATTAGGGCTCAATCACTACCTTCCTCTGTACAACTACATAGTGACACTTATTGTGGTGCAGGCAACACTCTCTACACTTTTGTCTCATAATGTTACTTTCTACAGTCCATCTCGTCTGTTACATGCCGGGTACTTTCTAATATTCAAAAAAAGGAGGAAAATGTTGCCCCCACTGTCAAAAATATGGGGTTATTTACAACATGTAGGGGGGGATAGTAATGACTGCATACAGTGTATGGCACTGAATGATGCATTAAACAAATTCTACATTTCTTGGACATTTTGTGCCCCTCAATAAAAAAAATGATGGGCATTCTGAGGTATTTAGGGTCATTTTTCATAATTTCCCTCATTCATATCTTGCGTGATGGAGCTTGTGTCATCTCTTACTTCTGCCTGTCATATATCTCAGACAAGCTTTCTGGCTTATCTTCAAAGGAGCCAGACTTGGACTTCAGTTAGACTCTTATCTGGGATTTTTCTTATCTGGGATACGATAAATTTTACTGCCTGCAGGCTAATCTGAGATTCTCAAGGTTCAAGGCTTCAAGGCCTTGAACCTTGAGATTCTCTTTTTTTTCATTTATTTTTGTTTTGTTTTTGTTTTGTTTGTCATATAAAAAAACTACCAGTTGTGTCCCTTGAGTGTGATTACGGTAGACACGAGTGAATAACTCGTATCTTAGTCTATATCTGGACACATCGCCCTGCTCTTATACATTTAATTATTACTAATTGTTATTTACATTTTTTTCTGTTATGTAACTTAAAAGTTCTCAGTTCAGAAGCTCTCAAAAAACAAATGACGTTAGCTGTGCTTTTAATTCAGCCTGGAGCTGCTGTGTCGGGGACATAAAGAGGATCACATTTCTTATGCATAGTTAAATTAGATTTTTTATCATATGTCACAATTTGTGACTCACAATACACCATCAATTCTGAAAATGAAGGAAAAAAATGTATTCTTTCCCCATGGTGGGATCTTGTATAATGTTGTTTTATTTTTCATTTTCTAAAAACCTCCAGGGCTTACCGCCTCTCTCAAATATCCTTTCTAATTTCATATGTGCGTTCACGTAACACCACATCCCATGCTCCAGGACAAACAATTAAATGTGCCATCTAATGTTTTTCTTTTTGGCTCTGAAGCGTTATTTAAACGTAAAAAAAACCCAGCTGGAACTGAATTGGACTGTGGTCAATGCCAATAACGGTCTAATAACAAAGGCTATGGGAACCATCAACACCAATCAAACCTTTAAAGTAAATCCCATCAGAATGTAAAGTGCGGTGAACAGAGGGAAGTGTTTTCCAACCAGCATCACTTCTGCATGCAGATATAATCAGCAGTTTTCCACAGGAGGGAGCACGCAGCATCCAAAGCCCCATTCTAAAACAAAAGCATTTATTTGACACTGCAGAACAATGGCATGTTGCTGTGATAGCAATGCTGGCTACTCCGCTGTGATGTTTATAGCTTCGCTCTGCACTGGGGAGAGGCAGCAAGGCAGACGGGAGAAAAACCAATAAGACATCAAAAATGGATGCTTTAACAAAACTTTAAATTGTGTTAGGCAGTGTACTGCAGCAACATGTTTTCTTCACTCAACTATAACATCGATTTAAACCCTATTTACTTTCTGGTTAAATTGTAAGCCATTTCAAATGTCGGACGAGCTAAAGTGTTTAAATGAACACAAACTGACAATGGACAGACTGGGTGGAGAAAGAGAACAGACGCGTGTTTGTTTTGGGGGGGGGGAGTAAGGGTGAGTTCTCTCGAGACAAAATCATGTTGGACTTTTAACGCCTGCATGCACACACATATTTCAGATGAGCGTAATCACATCACTCCCTGACCGTCACAGGCTGCGTGATATTAGATCTACTAAAACAAATTCAGAGGGAGGACACTAAGGCTGCGTAATTACACCCATCTTTTCTCTAATGTGTAGGCAAATGCTTTTAGTCTGTCTTTTCTCAGATGCTAAACTATTTTAGCTCATTTCAATAAATCATTTAATGCTGGAAAAATGCCCCATTTTCAAACTCACACAACACTCCCTTTCTCCCTTTTCTTTTTCATCCGTCTTGCTTTTTCTCTGCTTTCTGATAACATAATGATCTGCACACATTAATCTCACAAACACACATTTTGTGTAGCGCTCTCATTTCCACAGCTAATGTACATTCTTGTCATTTATAACCAATTATATCCAGTTTCCATACGGGTTATAAACCTTCCTTTTTTAATAAAGGTGTCCTCACCCCAAAGTGAGAATGTATTCATGTTGAGTACACAAACACACTCCCCCTGCATACAAATACACACCCACACACTCCAGAGATTGCAGCATGGTAAACCTCATTTGTAAACAGATTATAAAGTTAATTGCACAATGCATTTCAATTGAGCCGCCGAATCCTTGCGGTTTTGTTCCCCTGGTCTGCCGTCGCAAATGTTTTATTCCAAGGTGATGGTAATGACTCGGAGTCCCTTATGAACGCCATCTCATCTCGTCTCAGGTAGAGTGTGACCTCAGCTTAAATTGGGAGCTCCACGGGGGAAAAGTAAAAGATCATCCCCTTTTTTATGTTTTCTTTCTCTGCCTCTGTTATTTCTGATTACCTCACCGGGTTTGACAGTTTATATTACGAGTTCACTCCCTTTGGACTTTGAATATTTCATTGAGCGTGTTTGTAAGGTCGAGTTTAGGGAGAAACTTCTGAGAGTGGAAGCCATGTAATTGCCTTGTTCACTTGTTACATTATGTTTAATCCCACACGCTGTCATCAACACCAGCTTTTACTTCAAGTGTGTCTCTTTTACCTGAATGCGAAGCTCCGAACTGAAATGTTTTACCTGAAGGGAATCAGCTGTCACATGAAATAATGATTAACAATTCAAATCCTTTGTGGGTATTGCTTTTGGCAGGTTAGATAAGATCATCTATGCATCCATATTGTCTTTGCCAGAAAGTTCAGCGGTGACAGCTGTTGAGTGCTGCAGGCCACTTTGTAAAGAGAGCTGCCTCAGGCTAGCATTTACAAGAGGGACACCTTTGGTTCTCCATCCTTTCACTTATCTCAATACTTAAACCACCAGTATTTACTTTTTCCCTAATTTCTTCCCATATTTTTTTTATTTTTTTCTGTTTGTCCTATCATTTATAGCAGATGTGTGTCAGTGATTACACGCCTCTCAACTATTTTTGAATTGTTCCGCCAAGTTTATTCAGTTCTTCTGACTGAATATAAAATGCCCTGTTTGTATGCATATTTATATCAGTGTTTACTTATTCATTTCACTATTGGCCTAGGCAAGACGATAGGATCGTAAGACATTATTAGTTTTTGTTCTGTTTGATGTGAGTCTTACAGTTTCTCACGGCAGCCCACAATGTGTTTCGAGTTGATTAGATGTGTGTTTGTGTGTGCATATATTTGCTCCTGGGTACTGAGTTTTAGCGCAGAGTTGTTCTTTTTCACGCCTGGCACTGAAACAGGAATGAGAAGCCCGGTAATTTCTGCCTTGGCAGCAGTCATCTGGCAGTGAGGTTGCTTGCAGAGATGCACACAAAACACACACAACACGACAGACAGACAAACAAACACATAGAAACAAACAGAAAGGGCATTTAACAGACACATTAACACACATATATGTGCATGGGCCTAATGGTCAGTTCGACATTACGCACTCCCTGTCTCTGACTCTTTTCACACTCTCTTCCTGTTAGCAGCAAAGTGATAATCCTTAAGCATGTGTTGTGGTTTTGATTTTTGGCACGGCTCATACACACACTCAAGAGAGATACTGGCTAATGTCACACACACACACAAAGGACACTGAATGCAGTCATTAGTTCTGTGTCTCACGAGGGCACATCACTGTCCAGCCTGGCCTCTCTGTCGTGGCCTGCTGTCTCTCTGTCAACGGTGCAACACGCCAGAGGGGATTGCCATTTGACAGGGATTATAGATCATAATTAAGCTCCATGCTGTGTCTGTTTACACTGTAGTTGTGAGGATATGTGATTATTGACATTTTGTGGTGCATTCAGCAGAACACACAAACACACTTCATTGATAGGCCCAGCTGTAGGTCATGCTCCTCAGCTGTGATGAGGAGAAAGTTGATCCCCCTAGATACCATAACTAAACTTCCTGTGTCAAATCTCCATGGGCGACAGACAGAAGCAGAATAATGCACTATTATACAAATCCTTTCATTTGTGTTCTGCTTACTCTTCAGCTCAGTCCCCTATTATACTGTTTTTAATCAATATATTATAGGTCTCTGATATATATAAAACATGTCCCTGAAGTGTTTGGCTCCAAACACCAAACAGATCATTGCAGCATCCCATAATCCCCTCTGTTTCAGCCCTGTTTCAAAAGTGGGTGGGTGTGTGGGTGGGTGTGAGCGCAACTGTGGAAGTCTTTCTTAAATCCTCCTCTACTTTCGCTTTTTGGACTTCATACAAGTTGTGTATTTTCGACACAGTGGTGGCTCTGGAAGGCAATTCATAAGTGCAGTAGTTGGATGCGGACCGAATTATATCACGCAGCCCCTCGTCCTCCACAATGTTAATTGGCCTGCAAGCTGTCGCCACCCATTTAGCGATCTTTGTTGAAAGTTTGCTGCTCGTAGACCTGTCCAGGCGTCTCTCCCGCACACTTTCAAGTGTGG